GTTCATCCAGCCCTGCACCTTGTTGTCTCTATTTTTATCCTATTCATTTATTGCAATCAAGAATTTACTGAGGGCACTGAACAGTGCAAAAAGCACTTCAGGTCCAATCAGAAATCTAGGTATAGAGCTGAAGCCCTATAAAGAACATAAGAACTAGGAGCAGAAGTAGCCAATTCAGTCCCTCAAGCCTGCTCTGCAATTTGACACAATCATGACTGATCTAATCCTGCCTGCTCTTCATAAACTTTCAATCATTTACTGATTTAAATAAGTCTGTCTGCCTATCTCCTCGTTAAAGTTACTCAATATTCCACAGTCTGGGGGATTGAATTTCACAGATTCATGACCTTTTGAGAGAAGTAATTTGCCCTCATTTCAGTTTTAAATCTGCTACTCCTTACCTTAAAACTATGACCTCTCGTTCTAGATTGCCCTGGATGGGGAAACATTCTTTCTATATCTGCTTTGTCAATCTCCTTAGCATCTTATATACCTCAATTAGATTTCCTTTCATTCTTCTAAACTTCAGAGAATATGGGCTTAAACTGCTCAACAATAAGACAAACTCCTCCTCTCTGGAATCAAATCTAGCGAACCACTTCTGAACTGCCTTCAATACAACTAAATCCCTCAAGTAAGGGGATCAAAATGGTACACGATACTCAGGTATAGTCTCAATGCCAAATACAGTTGTAGCAACATTCCCCTACTTTTATACTCTATTCCTTGAGCAATAAATGCCAAAATTCCATTTGCCTTCATTACCACCTGCTGTACCTGCATACTAGTTTTCTGTGATTCATAGATTAGGATACCCAGAAGTACTCTGAAGCTTCTTTCCATTTAGTCAATAAGTTGCATTTCTATTCCTCTGACCAAAATGGATAGCCTCACACTTATCCACATTAAACATCATCTTGGCCGATTCACCGAACCAATTCATATCCACTAACTACACTAATCCCATAGCCTACAATGCCCTGGCATTTTAAGTACGCATCCAGGTACTTCCTAAATGTTGACACAGTACTTGCCTGAAGTATTCTCCTTGGCAGCACATTCATATACCTACCTGGGCGAAAATAATTTTCTTCAGATCTCCCTTAAAGTACTTGCTCCTCACCTTAAGCTTAGGTCATCTGTTCTTAGACATGTCTACTGCGAGGAAGAAACTCTTACAAACATATCCTGTCTACACATCTCTTAATTTTGTATACCTAAATCAAATCCCCCTTCAGCCTCCTGTACTCCAAGGACAACAAACCCAGCCTATCCAGTCTCTTCTCATAGCTGAGACTTTCCATGCTATGCAATATTCTGGTAAATCTGCTCTGTACCCTCTCCACTGCAATCATGTCCTTCTGTTAGTGTGGCAACCAGAACAGCACATGGTATTCCATCCATGGCCTATCTAATGCTCTGCAAAGTTGTAACAAGACTTCCTCACTTCTATTTTCTATGCCCCGGCTAATGAAGGCAAGCATTCCAAATGCTGTCTTCTTCACCATCCTGTCTACCTGTGCTGACACCTTCAGGAACCTATGGATTTGTATACAAAGGTCCCTTTGTTCCTCATTACTACCCAGGGGCCTATCATTCATTGTGCGTGTCCTTCCCTGATCAGACCTCCCAAAATACTACACATCACACTTATTGGGATTAAATTTCACCTTCCATTGCTCTGCCCAATTTACCAATTGATCAATATCAGACTGCAGCCAGAAAACATCCGCTTCACTAACACCACCAAACTTCCCAATTATACCTTCAACAGCCATATCCAGGTCATTAATATACACACTGGCAAGGGCCCCAGTACCGATCCCTGTTTGACATCACTGATCTCAGGCTTCCACCATCACTTTGCTTCCTAATTTGTAAGCCACTTTTGATCCAGTTTGCCAACCTACCTTAGATTCCATGGACTCTTACCATTTGGAACAGCCTTCCATGTGGGACCTTGTTAAATGCCTTACTGAAGCCCATGTAAAACACATCCAACACACTACCATTATCAATATACTTAATCACCTTTTCAAAAACCTCAAATTGGTCAGACAAGATCTCTAAGAAATCCGTGAGGATCTCTTGCAGGTGTCCTGTAGCTGAGCTGACTGACCTCTAAAAACCATAACCATCTTCCTTTTGTCAGGTATGACTCTAAACTGTGGAGGTATTCCTTCCCCCTATTCTGATTTCCATTGGCAACAGTATTGCTAGAGGTCCTTGATACCACATTCCATCAAATATTGCCTTGATATCAAAGGCCGACTGCCTTGAGCTGCTTCAACGATCCTCCCTCAACGTTCTTTAATGATTGCAGTGACCACTTGCAACTCAGCAATGAAGCAGTTGATATTAATAGGGAGCTTGACATGGGCAACTCTTGAGGTACGTAATGATCGTCTCCAACAAGGCAGAATCCAGTTGTCACTAGATGACATCCAATACCATTACCATTGTTAAATCCTTTACCAAATCCTGGAGTATCTCAATTTACTGGAAACTTACTGGACAATCCATAATAAACCACTGCAGCTACAAAAGTACATCAGAAACTGGTTGTGCTCTACATGGGTGTCTCCCCAATTTGCTTTCTCACTTATGTAAGGACTATTTTTAACATAGTCTTTTTCACAAGCTGGCGACTGAAATGAGAAACAGCGGTTTTAAAACCAGTGTCTGAGAGGGTCTCTACAGTTTTGAAAGCAAGTAACCTGACACCCATTACACACATAAACAATTAGAATTCCTACAGTGTGAAATGAGGTCATTTGGCTCATCAAGTCTCAAATGACTTTCTGAAGAGCATTCCACCCAGACCCAGCATGCCGCATCGTATCCCATAAACCCACATCTACCCTGGCTAATCCACCTAGCCTACACATCCCTCAACACGATGGACAATTTCATCATGGCCAATCCACCCAACCTGCACATCTTTGGACTGTGGAAAGAAACCGGAGCACCTGGAGGAAACCCAAGTAGAACGTGTAAACTCGACACAGACAGTTGCCTGAGGCTGGAATCGAACCTAGGTCCCTGGTGCTGTGAGGTAGCAGTGCTAACCACGGAGCCACCGTGCTGCCCTTGTTTGAACAAGCAGTAATTGAAGTTGAGCAGCAGACAATTTGGAGCCAAGGGGGTATAACCCAGGCAATAATAAATTGATTTGTCTATGGATTATCAATGACAAAGTCCTTTTTGTCTGTCAACAACTGTGTGATTGGTTCTCACCATGGAGCATCGGAGGCCGAGGGGTGACCTTACAGAGGTTTAAAAAATCATGAGGGGCATGGATAGGTGAATAGCCAAGACTTTTTTCCCAGGGTGAGGGAGTCCAAAACTAGGGGGCACAAGTTTACAATGGGAGGGGAAAAATTTAAAAAGGACCCGAGAGGCAGCTTTTTCAGACAGTGTGTGCATGGAATGAGCTGCCAGAGGAAGTGGTTGAAGTGGGTACAATTACAACATTTAAAAGACATCTGGATAGGTACATGAACGGGAAGGATTTAAAGGGATATGGGCTGAATGCTGGTAAATGGGACTAGGTCAGATTGGGATGGTCAGCGTGGACGGGTTGGACCAAGGTGTCTGTTTCCATGCAGAATGACGCTAACTCTTTAACAGCTTGCAACGGGGAACAGGTTACAGAGAGAAAGTGAGAGTGAGAGAGAGAGAGAGAGAGAGAGAGAGAGAGAGAGAGAGAGAGTGAGTGAGAGAGAGTGAGAGGGTGAGAGAGAGAAATGTTCAGTTCTTTCCCAGCTCTCTATACTGTATTAACTGTAAGCCTGAAGAAAACCAGTTTATCTTCCCTACAACAGCTGTTGTTTGCTGCAACTTTTAACTGATAATCAGAAACTTTTTATAAGGGAACCATCCACCCTACAAAGAATGAAGAACAAAGAAAATTACAGCACAGGAACAGGTCCTTCGGCCCTCCAAGCCTGCGCCGACCCAGATCCTCTATCTAAACCTGTTGCCCATTTTCCAAGGATCTGTACCCCTCTGCTCCCTGCCCATTCATCTATCTGTCTAGATACATCTTAAATGACGTTATCGTGCCCGCCTCTACCATCTCCGCTAGCAACGCGTTCCAGGCACCCACCACCCTCTGTGTAAAGAACTTTCCACACATATCTCCCTTAAACTTTACCCCCCTCACCTTGAAATCGTGACCTCTAGTAATTGAGACCCCACTCTGGGAAAAAGCTTCTTGCTATGCACCCTGTCAATACCTCTCATGATTTTGTAGACCTCAATCAGGTCCCCCCTCAACCTCCGTCTTTCTAATGTAAATAATTCTAATCTACTCAACCTCTCTTCATAGCTAGCACCCTCCATACCAGGCAACATCCTGGTGAACCTCTTCTGCACCGTCTCCAAAGCATCCACGTCCTTTTGGTAATGTGGCGACCAGAACTGTACGCAGTATTCCAAATGTGGTCAAACCAAAGTCCTATACTACGTTTCTTACCAAACAGTGGAAGCATCTGGATAGAGACAATTAATGCAATAATCTGGCCAGCAAAGGAGTCATAAAAATCATCTCAACAACAGTACCTGAGAACAAAGGTTTCTGAACTCTTGCTAGTTTTCCCCCTCTAATTGTTGGTCTGTGCACTTACGGGGGAATTTATATTGGGATCAGAGTTTTAATTAGGAATATTACACACTGAAGATTCATAACCGTTTAACTATAGTTAGACTCTTACTTTTAATAATGTTTTAATACTTTTAATGCCTTGATTACTTCTAATAAATAGCGATTCTTGTTCTGCACAGATACCTTGTTCAGGTTTTCTGTCTGAAAGTCAGGTAAATTGGGGAAATTTGCACAAAGTCTTTAATTTGAGACAACTCCAGGAATAGCGGGGCTTGATTTCCAGCGTTGTAACACTGGCTGCTTTTCTCAAAATGTTAAGAATGGGGATGAGAGTACGGTCCTTCCAGTTCTTGCTGACAAATCTATTTATCTTCTCTCTGCTGCTCTATCAAGACACTGCTTCGAATATAGTTTGGTACGTATTTGGACAATAATTTCACTGTCGTTCAAAGCTGTGTAACGTAACTTTTCATCTCCCAATATGTGAAATGATCAAAGTAGTGTGAAATGTGGTTGTTTCTTAAGCGCCCTGTGGCCAAATTCAGCTCCACTCCATTTACAAATTTGTTGATGACACCACTGAAGTGAGTTGGATCTCAAACAACAACAAGCCAGAGTACAAGAAAGATATAGATAGCTTAATGGCATGATGTAAAGACAGCAACCTCTCCCTCAATCTCAGCAAAATAAAGCTCATCAACTTCTGGAAGCAAAGTGGAGGACGTGTCTGTATCGATAGTGCTGAGGTGGAGGTGGTCAAGAGCTTCAAGTTCCTAGGAGTAAGTTTCACCAACAACCTATCCATGTCAACGCTACAGTCAAGGAAACAACCAACATCTCAATGTCCTCAGAAGGCTGAGGAAATTCAGCACGTCCACAATGACTCTTACCAATTTTTATGGATGCATCATAGAAAGCAGCTTATCCATATGCTTTGCAGCTTGGTATGGCAACTGCTCTAACCAAGACTAAGAAATTACAGAGAACTGTGAATGCAGCCTAATTCATCATGAAAACCAGCCTTCCTCCCATTGAATCGGTCTATACTTCCTGCTGCTTTGGGAGAGCAGCCAACATAATCAAAGACCCCTCCCACCCCAGTTGTACTCTCTTCCATCGGGCAGCAGATACAAGAGTTTGAAAACATGTACCAACAGATTTAAGGGCAACTTCTTCCCGGCTGATATCAGCCTTACAAACAGACCTCTCATTTGTTTGAGCTGATCTTGTTCCGCATCTTCACTGTAGCGGGAACACCATATTCAACATTCTGTTCTAATACCCTGATGAATTATCATAGATTATAGAATCAAAGAATCCCTATAGTGTGGAAACAGATCCTTCGGGCCAACAAGTCCACATTGACCCTTAGAGCATCCTATCCAGACCCATCCTCCTATAACCCACCTAAGCTACACATCCCTGAACACTACGGGCAATTTAGCATGGCCAATCCACCTAACCTGCAAATCTTTGGACTGTGGGAGGAAACGCACACAGACACAGGGAGAATGTGCAAACTCCACACAGTCGCCCGAGGGTGGAATTGAACCTGGGCGGCTGACGCTGTGAGGCAACAGTGCTAACCACTGAGCCACTGTGTCGCCCCTTAACTTATGTAAGGTATGATTTAGAGTCAGAGAGTTAGAGTCATACAGCATGGAAACAGACCCTTCAGTCCAACTTATCCATACCAACCAGTAATCTCAATGTGACTTAGTCCCATCTGCCAGCATTTGGCCCATACCCCTCTAAACCCTTCTTATTCAAATATCCATCCAGATGCCTTTTAAATGTTGTGATTGTACCCCACCTCCACCACTTCCTCTGGCAGCTCATTCCATACATGCACCACCCTCTGTGTGAAAAAGTTACTCTTCAGGTCCTTTTTAAATCTTTCCCCTCTCACCTTGAACTTATGTCTGGTTAGCGTGCAAAACAATACTTTTCATTGTATGTTGGTACATGACAATAATCAATCAAATCAAATGGCCCAGCAAACCGCTCAGTTACAACATTCCCCCTAGGCTGCAGAAACATGTGGCTGCACACAGGCTGGCCTCCTGACATATATACTTCCAGTTTTAGACCTTGGGAGGTCTGCATAGAAGGAAAAATAAATTAGACAGAATGCAGCTAGTTGCATCAAACTGCCAAAA